CCCTGCCCACGGCAGGGGGGTTGAACCTAGATGATCTTCAAGGTCCTTTTCAACCCAGGCCATTCTATGATTCTATGATGAACTACAGACAGGACAGCTCATCATGTAGCTGTTCTTCTATTCACCCTTTCCTGTCTCATCCTCTGAATGACAACATGTCATTGTGCACATTTTCATGGTGTCCACACAAGTTACAAGAAAGTGTCTGCAGTTTGTTAAAATTTGTATTTGTTAGTCTGGGCTGTTCTGTTATCTTGACTGGACATGGTTTAGCTGCTAGTAACAGGGAATGTGTGTTATAATAGAGGTGATACAGGAGGGACTTGACTATGATTAGATCATTCCTGCCTAGAAAGATATTTAAGGGAAAAACACTTGGTTTGGGGTTTAGGTGTTTTGGGGGTTTTTTATGTTTTCTTGGATGGGTAAGGTGGATGGTTATTGAAAACATCAGGACACAATTACTTTAATAGACAATGTTGTTTGCCTCCCTGAAACTGCTTGGAAGTCTGTCCTTGCTTGCAGCGCAATACTACCTTCATGTTCTATCTTGAACCTACAATATAAGTAACTTGTATCTTTATAAAACCCCCACTAACTGGGACCCAAAATCTTTTTTCAAAAATTAAAACAAAGCTTCCATCATGGAGATTTTTTTATCTCTGTTTAGCTGAAAGTAACAGCAAGTCTTAAACCTTATTTCTAAATAAAAATGCAGAAGGCAAAAATCAATCCTTCAGATATATATTTTCAGATAAAACAGATTAAAAAATATGGGTTTTTGTAGTTGTTTCCATGGCTTGCATAATGCTTTGTCTCAAGGTAATTTTAAATGTAAGAAAAGTAATTTATTAAATCATTTATCTTTTGAAAGGTTACTGCTGACGTTAAAATCACACATTTGGAAAGCCTTGGCAATGTAACTTAAAATCACAATTAATTGAAATTAAAGCTTTTTTATAAATTTATAAATTTATTTTACATTTCATATAACAGAAAATTACTGCTTTCACTGTGACTCCTATAAAAATCACTACAACGTTAAGATCCCAAATTAAACATGAGATTAATTATAGTGGTAGAATTTAAAACAAATTGTAGGGAACTTCTAAATGCCTTTTTATATGAGCCTAAATTCCAGGCCTAGATCAACTAGTGATATATATTTACACAGGTACACCACTGTAAATACGTAAAGTCTCAGTCCTTCTAGGACTTCTTAGTAGGCATGTAGTATTCTGTTGCGGGTAGTCCTTTTGAAGCGCAGACAGCTCCTCGCTCAGAGCACACCAGTTACTACGAAGCATTTGCAGCATCCCTCTGTACCTGGAAGAATGGTATTAACTTTTATGAAGCATTCTGAGATCAGTGGATTAAAATTACTGATAAAGTGCAAAGAATAATTATTTATTAAATTATAACTTGTATAGGTTGTGAAATATCTGAGAGCACAGGGCTGAATTCGTGACTGATTCTCAGCTGTGTTACAGGCTGGCCGTTACATGGCAGTTGCATGGCAACTCCTCTCTATAAAATTCACTACTCTTTTCAAAGGCATTCAAAGAACTTCTGGGTGTTTTTCCTGTTTTTCAGTGCAGTTCCTAGTGTACAGTTTCTGAAAAGGACCAGCAAGAAACCAACAAAACCAAGCTGGAGTGTGAGATGTTGCTGAGGAAGTGTGAGAAGGTTTTGTGAAAGACACAGTCAAGAGATTCCCCACTCTGATCTGCAGGCTCCGTGTCTGAATTTTTGCCTGTTGCCCCTCAGCCCTTGAAAACACAAATAAGTAAGAACAAATAAGCAAAATTATGTTGTAGTCCTTAAGGACGGAAAAAAAATCATAGGAATATAATTTCCTGTCTCTGTTGAATGCTTAAACTATTCAGTCTCTGTCATCAGCCACAGAATATTCTGTGCCCCAAAAATTGAAAGATGAACATATGGAGGTTTCTGGATTTACTTAATTTGTCTACCTCTTCACCACTGATTCTTTTTTTTATTCAAACTTAATGAAAGAAATAAAGTGTAGGGGCCTGACATTGATCTCTCTTATGTAGCTAGTTGTATGACAGAAGTCTCTCTTCCAGTCCTTACGGAGTTAGGCAGGCAAAACTGAGAAAGTGTTCTGGTTTATTAAAAAGCTATTTTAATCCACCCTGATCTCTGGAGAATATTTTTCTGATGTACCTGCTACTGAATTTTCAAGAGTTTAGGATTAATACCTCAGCTAGAGTTTCAAAAGTTTTGAAAATATTTCCTATTGAAGCACTAGAGTAAGTAGTTTGATTTTTCAAAAGAGCACTAACAACCAAAATCTTCAGAAAATCTAGTGTTGGTATCACCAGGTGTCACCACTGAAAGCACTCACTTCAAGCACTGAGCATTTGAACACTGGGATCCTAAGTGTCCTTTTTGAGGCTTCCCCTGTTGTTCAATTACACAGAGACAATTTTTCAGTGTCAGCTAACTGCCACTCTGTGATCTTTTTATACATGAACTATATACTCTTCATCCCTAGGGGTACAGTAGTAACTTGGACAGACTGTTTTTGGGAGTGAGGGGAAAAGAGCTGAGAGTTTTGTCAGTTTTAGAGTAGCAGAAATTATTTCAATATAAGCTATGCCTGTAGTGGGGATGATTTTTATTTCTTTTTATCTTGGGAAGAAATCTCTTTGAATAGTCAGAAAGATATAATCACTGTCCTTTGGTTTATTTGAAAGCTTTGTAATACTCAAACACTCCATGCAGGAAATGTGCCTTCAAGGAAAGCATACGTTTACTCCCTGAAGCTATTGCCACTTTCAACCTTCTTTCTATTTCTCATTATGGTTTTGTTACATTTTTGTACTGTGGTAAGACTTGAGGTATTGCAGGGAATTTTCCCCAGAAAAATAAAGTCTTTGATCACAAAGGGTAAAGAAGAACAACATCTCCGGGCAGATGAGCTTGTTCTAGTGAATGCCTCTTACATTTATTAACATTTATTTAGCAAAGGGAAATAGGAAAATTCAGCTGAGAATTACTGTAACTGACTGATGTTATTTTTGACCTTTATTTTATTTAGACTCAAATTTAGTCTGAAGGAGACAGATTTTAGGTTCTTCATTGTAGCAGTAACATAAACATGGCACAAATAATTTACCTTTTCTGGTGGGTTGCTGGCTGTCATTTACTTGACAGGATGTCTAAGACCTGTTAGTCTACCTGTCCCCATGACTTAGTAGCTGCTAAAACTCCCTCTTGATCAGTCACCTCCCAGGATAGAGAGCAATTGCATGCAAAAGAGAATGAAACCATGAGGAAAAGGTGTACAAAGTTCAGCCTGGAGGTACTTACTCTGTTGCTTGCATTAAATTCTCAGCAATTTCCTTGGCCCTTGAATGCACACAAACTAATCAAGCCCTTGGTAGGTCACCTCTATATACTAGAGGGTGGAAAATTCCTTTCAGTGACTCTTAGCAGCTCGTGTTTGCAGCTGTAGGCATCTCCAGAACTGGCCAGTGCAAGAATCTGCAGCACACAGAGATCACTTATGGATGAAGTACTTACCCTCTTCTGCCCCTAAAGTTAAATCTATGTTATGAGTTGTCTGAGATAACGACATTTTGTGCGGTAACAGGCATAGCTGCTCCTAACCTTCCTGTTTTGTTCAGCCACCCATGCATCCATCCATCCTTCCATCCATCCTCCCATCCGTCCTACCCTCTCTCCCTCTCTCTCCTATATTTGCAATTCATTCTTTGCACTATTGACATTGATTGGTTTGATGATTATTTTGTAACATGTTCCTAGCTTTTTGTTTTGTAAGATAAGAAAGTCTATACACTGGCTAACTTTGTAGAAATGATTTTTTTTTTTTTAATTTTTATTTTATCAGTTGAATTGGGATGTCATGTTTTGTTTGAACTATGGCAAAACTTCAATAAATGTTAAGATGAAACAGTATATCCACATTTTCATAGTGAAATTTAATTGGTATGTGCTGTATATTCTGATAAGTCAGAAGTCTTTAATTCAGAAGAGAAGGCGGCAGTGTTTTGAATGGCATAAAGAAGGTCATAAATAAGAAGTGATGGGACTATATACAGAAAATAGATGGCAATGGTGCTGGCCTAGAGCTTGAGCCACACAACAGACATGTTGAGCAGTGCTGACGTTATACAGGAGAGGATCCAGCATTTGAATGAAGCCATCCTGAAACAAAGTAACTGAGAATTGAAGCCTCTGCTGTGGGTCTCTTCTACTTCTGTTCTCTTCTAC